CATCTCGAAAACTTAATGGACCTCTAGAGAAATTTGGAGGCCAGATTTGCAACCATTGAGAGTCCCTGAGAGCACCCTACTATAGTGTAAGGAATTCGAAATTTTGTGGATTTTTTGAAACCTAAGTTTCCCGAAAAAAAAATTGAAAACAACAACATCTTATCTCGGAAAGTAAAAGGATTTGAGCATTCATATTAAGAGTCAAAACTTGAGACGCCAGGGTGTACGCTAATAATAAGGTTGTATCTTCATCGAGTTGGTAGTTTCAAATTTTTTGAATTTCCTTGTAGATAAGTTCTTTGAGAAATTTTGAAAAAATCAAAAAACGTCACATCTCGGAAACTAAACGCATTTGAGAAGTCGTGTTTAGCAGTCGCATGTGACAAGATTTGCAACTCTCTAGAGTACCCTGACAACACCGAACTATAGCCTTGGGAGTTTCAAATTTTGAAAATTACTTAATTTGAACTTTCTGAAAGTTTTGAAAAAATCAAAAAAACATCACACCTCGAAAACTACGAACAATTGAGCTGTCATATTTGGAGGCAGTTATCGCAATCCTTGAGAGTACTCTGACAGGACCTAACTACAGGGTTGGGAATTTCAGATTTAATAAATACTAATAATTAAAGTTTTCTGAAAACTTTTGAAAAAATCACAAAAAACGTCATATCTCGAAAACTACAAAGAATTGAGCAGTCATTTTTGGAGGAAAGATTCGCAATCTTTGAGAGTACCCTGACAGGGCCCAACTACAGGGTTAGGAATTTCAGATTTTGCGAAAAAAAAGAAAAGTTTTTAGAAATTTTTTTTTGAAAAATTCACAAAAAACGTCATATCTCGAAAACTAAAAGGATTTGAACAGTCATATTTTGAGGCAAATTTTATAACTCCTTAGAGTACTCTGACAGAATCCAACTACAAGGTTGGGAACTTCAAATTTTGAGAAATAATTTATTAAAATTATCTGAAAGTTTTTGAAAAATCAAAAAAACATTATATCGAAAACTACAAGGATTTGAGCAGTCATATTTGGAGGCCATATTCGCAATCCTTGAGAGTACTCTGACAAAACCTAACTACAGGGTTGGGAATTTCAGATTTAATAAATACTAATAATTAAAGTTTTCTGAAAACTTTTGAAAAAATCACAAAAAACGTTGTCTCGAAAACTACAAAGAATTGAGCAGTCATACTTGTAGGCAAGATTCGAAATCTTTGAGAGTACTCTGACGGTACTCAACTACAGGGTTGGGAATTTCAGATTTTGCGAAAAAAATGAATATAACTTTTCTGAAAAATTTGAAAAAATCACAAAAACTTCACTTCTAGAAAATTAAAGAGTTGAGCAGTCATATTCGCAGGCAAGATTCGCAATCTTTGAGAGTACCCTGACAGGACCCAACTACAGGGTTAGGAATTTCAGATTTTGCGAAAAAAAAGAAAAGTTTTTATAAAAATTTTTTTGAAAAATTCACAAAAAACGTCATATCTCGAAAACTAAAAAGATTTGAACAGTCATATTTTGAGGCAAGATTTAAAACTCCTTAGAGTACTCTGACAGAATCCAACTACAAGGTTGGGAACTTCAAATTTTGAGAAATAATTAATTAAAATTATCTGAAAGTTTTTGAAAAATCAAAAAAACATTATATCGAAAACTACAAGGATTTGAGCAGTCATATTTGGAGGCCATATTCGCAATCCTTGAGAGTACTCTGACAAAACCTAACTACAGGGTTGGGAATTTCAGATTTAATAAATACTAATAATTAAAGTTTTCTGAAAACTTTTGAAAAAATCACAAAAAATGTTGTCTCGAAAACTACACAGAATTGAGCAGTCATACTTGTAGGCAAGATTCGAAATCTTTGAGAGTACTCTGACGGTACTCAACTACAGGGTTGGGAATTTCAGATTTTGCGAAAAAAATGAATATAACTTTTCTGAAAAATTTGAAAAAATCACAAAAACTTCACTTCTGGAAAATTAAAGAGTTGAGCAGTCATATTCGCAGGCAAGATTCGCAATCTTTGAGAGTACCCTGACAGGACCCAACTACAGGGTTAGGAATTTCAGATTTTGCGAAAAAAAAAATTTTTAGAAAATTTTTTTGAAAAAATCACAAAAAACGTCATATCTCGAAAACTAAAAGGATTTGAACAGTCATTTTTTGAGGCAAGATTTATAACTCCTTAGAGTACTCTGACAGAATCCAACTACAAGGTTGGGAACTTCAAATTTTGAGAAATAATTAATTTAAATTATCTGAAAGTTTTTTAAAAATCAAAAAAGATTATATCGAAAACTACAAGGATTTGAGCAGTCATAATTGGAGGCAATATTCGCAATCCTTGAGAGTACTCTGACAAAACCTAACTACAGGGTTGGGAATTTCAGATTTAATAAATACTAATAATTAAAGTTTTCTGAAAACTTTTGAAAAAATCACAAAAAATGTTGTCTCGAAAACTACAAAGAATTGAGCAGTCATACTTGTAGGCAAGATTCGAAATCTTTGAAAGTACTCTGACGGTACTCAACTACAGGGTTGGGAATTTCAGATTTTGCGAAAAAAATGAATATAACTTTTCTGAAAAATTTGAAAAAATCACAAAAACTTCACTTCTGGAAAATTAAAGAGTTGAGCAGTCATATTCGCAGGCGAGATTCGTAATCTTTGAGAGTACCCTGACAGGACCCAACTACAGGGTTAGGAATTTCAGATTTTGCGAAAAAAAATAAAAGTTTTTTGAAATTTTTTTTGAAAAAATCACAAAAAACGTCATATCTCGAAAACTAAAAGGATTTGAACAGTCATATTTTGAGGCAAGATTTATAACTCCTTAGAGTACTCTGACAGAATCCAACTACAAGGTTGGGAACTTCAAATTTTGAGAAATAATTAATTAAAATTATCTGAAAGTTTTTGAAAAATCAAAAAAACATTATATCGAAAACTACAAGGATTTGAGCAGTCATATTTGGAGGCAATATTCGCAATCCTTGAGAGTACTCTGACAAAACCTAACTACAGGGTTGGGAATTTCAGATTTAATAAATACTAATAATTAAAGTTTTCTGAAAACTTTTGAAAAAATCACAAAAAACGTTGTCTCGAAAACTACAAAGAATTGAGCAGTCATACTTGTAGGCAAGATTCGAAATCCTTGAGAGTACTCTGACGGTACTCAACTACAGGGTTGGGACGGTACTCAACTACAGGGTTGGGACCCAATTACAGGGTTAGGATTTTCGGATTTTTAAAAAATAATAATTTAAACTTTCTGAAAATTTTTGAAAAAGTCACAAAAAACGTCATATCTCAAAACTACAAGGATATGAGCAGTCATATTTGGAGGCAAGACTCGCAATCCTTGATAGTACTCTGACAGTACCCAACTACAGGGTTGGGAACTTCAAGTTTTGTAAATTATTTTGTTGTTGGAAATTTCTAAAATTTTTGAAAAAATCTCAAAAATTGTCTTATCTCGTTAACTAAATTGATTCGGGCATTCAAAATTGGAGGCCAAAATTCGCAACCCCTAATTCGATATTGGGCTGCATAATTTAAACTCGGTAAAATAACCACTAAAATCAAATTGGAAAATCGAAAAAAAATTCTTAAACATTGCAATATACTATATAGCTTGAACATGCAATAATAATACGTTAAAAAAGCTTAAACATGGCGAGAAAGTGAAGCCCGCTTTTAAATATATAATAGATTAATTAAGAGTAATGAACGTAGATTTTTTTGGTTTTTTTAGGGAAAAGTCTTAAAATTTGTTCACGCTCAATTTTGATTTTTCGCGCTTTGACTCGAGATTTTTTTTCTTGAGAAATTCAGTATCTTTCTATTGCTAAAAGGAAGGCAAACTCCACTATCGAACAGCAAAAATGTATAAGTCACGAAAAACGTGATCAAATTTTAATTTCGAAAATAGAAATTAGTTATCAGATTTCCCATCGAAATGAAAGTTTTACCTATTGATCCAGTTTTCTCAAATTGGGTTAATTTTAACAAAAAAGTGTCTATCATAACTGTTCCACAATTTCAAAGAGCTTTAAGGCCATCTATTTTTCCTTCGAAAGTTGAAGATTTTTGAAAAGACCGTTTTTTTCAGTTTTCTTGCGTTCATTGCTTTATTCCGACTATTAGTTGGCTATGTTCAGATTTAGAAAATGGTTTCTTGGTTTTTCTCTTTATCATTTTTGCAGTATGATTCAATTTCTTTGTTCGGCTCTTTTCCAGCTTCCCACCCTCCTCGAAAAATTACAAAATAAAACTGTTCTAAAATTGTTCACATATTTTGCATGTTAAAAATGTTGTACAAATTTGTTCACCTGTTCACGCTGACACGTTTCAACGCAGTTTATAACCTAAAAAGTCATTTTAAATAGACATTCATATTTTGAATTTCAGAAAATATCAAGGGGGACTGAAAAAGAGCCCTTTGTTCCATCACATTTATTTAGTGTAGAGTTATCTTTTTGCGAATAAAATAGCTGTTTCCTTATCAGTATAGCGTCACGAATGTGAAAATTTGGAATGGTTTCAATTTTTGGTTATTAATCTAGAATATTGATTAGCTCTTGATTACTAGCGAAAAACCCAATGACTTTAATTTGGATTGAGCAGAGAGAGGTGTGGTTTTTACCTGATTATGTATTTGCTAAGGTGTTATCCTGAATTTTTGGACATTTTTCCTTTAATTGTTCATGTGTTGAATTCTACTGTTTTTTTTGTCGTTATGCGACGTTGAAAATAAGGGTATCATTTACTCAAATTGCTTCTTTAAACATAATATTTCCTGTTAAAGTGTATAGATCAATCAATGAGTATTTCGGTTTACATATATTTTTATATGTATACTTTTTTAAACTTCATTTAATTACTTGCTTTTTTATAGCTAAAGTTTCAGCTATTTTTTCCGTATTTATCTTTCTAACACGAGGCTTTTTTCTACTTTGTTTTTTTTTTGCTGCCAATTTATCAATTGACTTTTTAGTTGATTGTGTAATAAATTTTAATTGCTACTACGGGTTATGTTGCACATATATCCATATTGAATTGCATTCGCTTTAAACTGTAACGCCTCTTGTATGCAGATTGAAATCACAAAAGAGGGACAAAATAAATCATAACTATTTCCGGACTGATTATTTCTGTCAACCTGGCTTTATTAGGTAGCAAATTATATTCCTTCATTTTCATATGTTTCTGCGGCGGTGTTCGTGTGGGCGGCTCTGAAATTCTCCTGGGATCCAATGTTTTGACATCCATTAGTGTGTTGAGAGACGAGTTATTAGACATGGACGTTGTTTCAGTGGGTGTTTGGTTTATTTTCAGTGTTACTTTTGTTCTGGTGTGTTGTGGCTGTCTTGAGATGAGATGGCTGAAACGCGTATGCAGCGTGCGCGTGCTAGTCTTGATCATTATGTTGCTAGCCATGAGTCTTTTCGCCATCACTATGTATCCCTCCGACTGCGCCTCCCCGACGCTAGATTCCCTCTCAGGAGGCGGACCCCTACCAAATGAGATGCTTCGTCACCGGTTCGGCATGGGTAAAATTCTACCGGCGCACACGAAAACGCAGTATGGAAACAAGACATTCGACCGAAATAATCCGATTATCTTTGTCGGCGGGATGCCGAGGAGTGGAACGACTCTGATGCGAGTGATTCTAGACGCCCATCCTTATGTGTTGTGTGGGGAAGAGACTAGAGTTGTGCCTCGTATTCTTCAGATGCGTCAACAGTGGGCGAAGAGCAAGGTGCGTAAATGTTTTTTTTTTTGAAAATTTTTACGAAATTTCATTTTTTTTCTAAACTAGAAAATAGAAAACCGTAGCTATCAAAACTACTCAATCTAAAACCGTTTTGATTAATTTAAACTGGGGCGTACTCAGGAACATTTTGATGTGGATCGTTTTTTGCCAAAATTTTCAACCCCCTTTTTAGGTCAGCCATTCTTAGTTAAAGCTTTTGAGCTCTGGCCAAACCTCAGAATAACAAATTTTGGAGATAAATTTTAGGTTTTTGGAATGTTTGACCATTTAATGCGTGTTTTGGCGCGTGCTATTTGTAAAATTAGTATTTTTTGAGAATCTACTGAACAGTATGGTATCTACGATAATTCTCCCTCCCCCCCCCCCCCCCCCTTATAGAATTTACTCCCTCTCCCTATGGTATATACTTAAGAAACTCCACCCCTATAAATAAATACAGTAAATTAGCACAAGAGCTTTGTAGAGAGAATTCTAATTTTGCTGCATTTTGATTGGTCGAAAATTCGAACCTTGAAAAGGGGAGATTGTTAAGTAGATCCTATTTTGGAATTTAAAGTTTAAAGAGGTATATGCTTTTGTAAGAGTAAACATTTTAGGAAGTGAATCCCAATTTTCTCTATTTCTGTTTCCTTGCTGATTGTTCACCCGGGTTGAGTTTGTGAAATGTAGTCTCCGTCAAGCAACTTTTTCAATTGGTAGTTTCTAGAACTATATGAATTTTTGTACGTTTGCTATTGACTTCGTTCACGAATATTTCATGGCTTCATTCATTTCCTTGCAGAAAAATCTAACCAAGAGTCATATTTTGAGCCTGTTTTTGTTTTCATTATCTCTTCTTTTCTATTTTTCATATCGGTTGTACCACTATCTTCTCTACGCAAGCATTATAAAATCAGAGCAGACTTTTTGCAGGTTAACAACTAGTTCAACAAAATCACACAATCATTTGTCGAACAGACTTGTCTGTTCAACAGTTATATTTCAGCATATCTACATTTTAAATGGCCGTTCTATGGGAAATTTATGCTCGCGTTGGTTGTAAACCAACTCGATCGTTTTAATTTTCATTTTTCGCGTAAATTTTTATTCAGCTTAAAAGGTTTAAAGCTCATTTTATATCGGATTAGTTGCAGCATAATGCTTCGTTTGAAAGGCGGTAGCAAATTTGCGTTCGTATGTGTGCTGGGGTATGTGAAACTGAAACTTCGGGTTTCGAATTTTTTAAGCTCAAGTTTTATTAAGGTTTTTTCGGCCCAATCGACAGTATTCAGTTTTTGGATTCATAAATTTTGTTTCAGATGCTCATTTACTTAATCGCTATGTGTTTCTTTGTTTGCAAAAGTAATGGATTTTTGTTCTGAGTTTTCCATGGGGAAACTTCAATATTGTTTCTTAGTTCAACTGGCGTCTATCCATGTATTGGTGGCTTAGTTGCTGCTCGATAAACTTTTCTGAATCACAGTTAGCGCTGGCGATTGTGTTTCGCGCAATTTTTTCCTCTAGTCAATTATGATTTGAGACAAATTTATGAGCATTTTCTAGATGCAGGTTTTTAAGTATCAATGAACGTAGTGAAGACTTTTATGAATGTAGTGATTTTTTCTTCAGGAAAAATCCTAAAATTTGTTCAAACCTTATTTGATGTTTTGCAGTTTGACTTCTGTCTTTTCTAAGTTCAGTTCAAACTCATTTATTAATAAAAGCAGGGCTATTGCAAACTCGGAAGTGATGCGAGGAAGCGTGAATTTCGAAAGTGAATTTTAACTTTTTTCATTTTCCAGCGTTTTCTCAAATTGGGTTAATTTTATCACAAAGGGTCAATCATAATTTGTTCTCGACCCTCAAAGAGCTTTATGGTCTTTTATTTCTTTCGTCGAATCTCGCAAGTTAAGTTAAACTTTGTAAAATAACTCAATCGTTTTTTTTCCAGTATCTTGGCGTCCATTGACACCTTCCCAACTGATTGTCGGCTTTGTTTTGACATTTGTTTCAAATCGACTTAATGCTTAATGAGTTTATAATGCTATCTTGAGGTATCGTATTTGGTGAAGTTTCGCTTTCCCTCTGTTGAGTTTTCAAAATTTGTTGGACTTTTTATACGGTGGAGCTTATGTTTGTGTTATTGAATGTATAGAGAACTGTCCCGGAAAACGGTGTCTGAAACATTTCCCGCGCTCTACTTTATCTGAATATCTTACAAATGCATGATCATATGGTTTTTAGCATTTACTTATAATGTGCGCTCTTATGTATTGTGTTCGATTGTGTTTTTGTTGCTATTATTGTTTTTCGGATAATTATCTTTGGCGAGAAGCAATGCAACGTATGTTTGCTCAGGTGGAAAAGACGCGGCTAAACGAAGCAGGTCTAACGGACGATGTTCTGGACAGTGCAACTGCGGCCTTTATCATCGAGATCCTCGCCAAACATGCTTCAAAGCATGCCAAGTCAGTCCTCTGCGACAAAGACCCCTTCAACCTCAAACAGATCCTGTACCTGCGAGACCTATTTCCCAAAGCAAAGTTCCTCCTCATGATCAGGGACGGAAGAGCCACTGCTCATTCAATCATCACCCGAAAAGTCACCATATCAGGTATTGAAGCGTTTTCATGTGGACCAGAAGTTGTCCTAAAATAATCAATTACAAAAAACGGTTTCACGTCAATCATAATTCTACTGTCGAAGTTGACTAGATTTGGCAAAAGATTATATATTTTATGTAATTTAGCTCTGTTTATCCTGATTTAAATAAGAGTGTATTTTCATTATTCTAAAAAAGGACTCTCGTCGAAACCGATTTGTCAAATTAACCCACTTCGCCACCAAATAATCCCCGTTTAGTATTATTTAAGTAGGCACATTTTTGGCACCAAATTTCGGCCACCCATTCAACTTTAACCAAAAAGCCTCAAAACAGCATTTTTGACTCATTATTTCAAAAACTTCACCTGTGATCCCAAAAAAATAGCTGTAGTTTAACCAAAACATGTACTCTTCTTAGGAGCACATAAAATCAGTTTGGTTGACATCATTTCTTAATGCCCTCTATCGAAAATCCTAGATCCGGTAAACTGACCCTGCGCAAAGTTGTTATGATAAAGCAAGGTTTTTTCAAAAAGTTACCCCGACTTTGTTTTTACTATATGGAATAATTTTTTTTTTATTAATCCAGCCCATTTTGGTCCCTAGTAAGTATTCTGATATCTGCACTGGTAATTTGTGTTTCTGATCTATAGCTACAAGGAATCTGTTGTCCTGATTTTCAAAGGAAGTGACGAATATTTATGCTCGGGGTGATTTTTTTTATTCCTACTAAATTCGACTAAAATAATTTTTTTAGGGATTTTTTTAACCTGCGATTATTTTTCCAGAATACATGCGGGATTGAAAATGCTTTTGGGATGATAAATGCGCGCGAAATTTCTTTTTCCTTTGGAGCGTAGCATTACCGGCAAATTAATCCAGCTCAATTATTCCTAATTGAATTAGTAGATAGAATTATACCTTATTGTGCTTTACATTGGGCGTAGGAAGGAGAGATTCAAAAAATATATAATTACTTATGTGAGAGAGCAATTGGATTGCAACCGGCTACAAGATTTTTTTCCTGTGAACAACCATCTTGTTCACTGGACTCATGTGTTTGCTGCTAAACCCAGAAGTTCCTTACCAGCTGAACAGACCTGCTCACCAAAACAAACATAATTTGAAGATCTTGAGATTTTGAATACTTGTTTTATTCGAATTTTTTTAAAAAAATTTGGTTAAAAGTCTACTGTTTTCATGAAATTCCTTTTTCTCTCTTCGCTTTTTTTACTTTGCCACGGCCTTATGTTCTGTTCGCTTTTGTATCTTGGTCATTGCCTCCGTGGAGAAGATCAATATCATCCATTTTACCGTAGCCGCTCCTACCTTGAGTAGGAGGATGAAACTGGGACCCATCCAACCGTGAACCCATCCAAGTGGGGTTTGAACCCTCGCTATTCGTGTTAAAGGCTTTGTGTCTTATTCACTTGGTCACGGCCAAGTGTAATATAGTGCATGTAATATATCGGCTAAGATGCCTCGTATTCGTTTATTCGATCAGTGAACGAATTTTTTATGCTTAAGTGTTTTGAGGGGGTGGGAGTTCGTAGGTTGTCAATTGAAGACTTTTTTTTCGGTTCAATTCGTGTCTGTCTCCTCAAGTTCTGTGGGCTTTGCTTGAATTTGCATTCAGGTGCCAAAAAGTCATCGATTGGGTCAAGTTATTTATTTTAAAGCCCTTCATTCGTGATTTGAAAGATAATTTTAAAATTGCAAGACGTTTTCCCATTGTCGTGAAACACCGGTTTGGCACTACAGATTTTTTGGATGATTGTTCTGCAAAAAATAAGAAATTTTATTCATTTGTCGGTTATGCCTAATTAACTAACTTTATGCGCGTTCGTATGATCAATTAATCATCGCCACCATCTAAGAAAATTTTCAAATTTAATTTCAAGAACATGGTGCAGATAGTCAAACATGGCCTCTAAACCAAATTTAAATTGTTTCATAGGGGGCAGCTCTGATCATTTGCATTATGTAATTTTTTTTTTAATTCGAAGTGAATATTGTCCAAAATAATCCTCGAAAAGAGGCACTTAAGAGTTTGAAATTATGCCTAATTTTTTCCCCAAGTGTAGCTCTCGTGCCAGTTTATTCAACCACCTGTTCAAATATGGCTCCGTTATTGTTTAGGTTTCGACATCACGAGCTACAGAGATGTTCTCTCGAAGTGGAATCGAGCCATAGGGGAAATGTGGAAACAGTGTGAGGAGGTGGGACCACAGTACTGCATGCCAGTTTGGTATGTCCTTTGTCATTTTGGGCAGCGGTGCTGAAGTGGCTAAGTCTCCGCTTCCCGATCGAGGTGTCGCATGTTCGAGGCTCACCATGATCCATGCATCGTTGCTTGAGGGTGAAGCAACATTACCTAGCCCAGAAAACTAATCAAAAAATTGCACGTAGATTTTAAACAGGGACATAACAGCGGTTCTGCGTAATGAGCTGAATATGTAGCTCATATGTCGGTCCTTTCCATTGTGGATAAATTGTCACCATGTAACATAGAATTCATCTGTTCACTTGTTTTGCATTTCCACCGAAAAACGAAGTGCAGATCACCAACCAAACACGACTAAATTTATTTTAATAAATGTCAATCATGAAAAATTATGAATTTTAAGGCGCTTAAGCTTGTATGTTTTATCTTTAAAACTCCAAAGTTGAAAATGTTTTTGCAAAAGTCAGTGATTGTTTGATTCTCTTGCGTTCATATGATATTTTCCAACTGTGTTGACTATTTTATCGGCGTTTTTGCTTGTGGGAAAAAGCAACTTCGAGTTCTTGTCTAATATTTCGATTTGGGACGGAAGACGGTGGTTTAGTTACTTTTTTGTAAATTATGCGTAAATAATAGGCTTGCCATATGGTCTATGTTAATTGACCGGTCAATAAAACTTATTATTTGAGTTTATAGACCTAACTCATAAGTATTTAAATAATCACCATTTGGAAAAATTGTACTAAATCAACTTAGTGGTAATCAATTTTGATTTTTTTTAATAGGCAGGAGTATTTAGAATCAGCGTGAAAATGCTTTTGGTTAAAATCTCCCAGAAAAAATCCAATCAATAAAGTACATTCTTTGTTCAAATTCTCCGCAGTCGTCCTTCAACAGTTTGCCTCGAATATGTGTAATTGTTCAAATTGGTCTTTTTTTTCGACAATTTCAACATGTTTAAAAAAATTTGAAAAATCATCAATTATCTTTGATTATCTTTTTAAAAAAATTTCATGCTTTTTTTCGATTCACATAATTATTTCAACCTACAAATAATCGGCTGGAACTACTGTGTTCAGACTTTTAAGTGGAATTTAATTTGTTATTTGATTATTTCGTGAGAATAATTTTAGAATAGTCTTTGGAAAAGATTTATTGTTCATCACTAAGTTTGTTTTTGATTAAATTTTGCAAGAAAAAATTGTGTGGCAGTTTTGATTTTTCTATGTTTGGGTGTTTTCATAGTCTTTCTTTTTTGTATCGCAAATGCTGCAAAACTCTACTTCGCCTGTTGTAATCAGTTGCAAAAATTGCGCACATATTGAATTGTGCAATACAAGCAAGCAATCTAACATTTTTTCCTTTCAGGCGGTGTTGAGACATACAATCTATCTGAAATACTAGCTTTTGCTCCCAAAAGTTTTGCTAAAAAGGTTGAATTCCTGGTCAAACTGAATTCTGTCTGTTTGACTTTTCTGCAGCTCTTTCTAAACACAGGGGTTAGTGTCCAGTCCCCCCTTTGTACTTTTTTAAGATATCTAGTTTTGGCGAGGTGCCCTAAAATTTTTCTAAATACGCCTTCGGCGCCAATATATATTTATTTTTGAGGGGGGAGCGCGCGCCGAGAAAACGCGACTTTTTAGTCCAAATTTTCCAAAAAGTGCATAAAAACGCTGTTTTTGGCTTGTTTTCTCACGTATTCGCCTGCGGCGCTGAAAGTTTTGTCAAATTAGGCTCTTTTTAGTGATTTAGGAAAGCTCAGAAAATCAATTTGGTTGACCTAAAAAAATCCCCCCCCCCCCCCTCGAGAAATTCCTAGATCCGCGCCTGTTAGTGTCTCATGTCTTTTTTCTTGTTCAGGTACGAACAGC